GAGGGAGTCAATGGGGGGGGAGGGGACACCTGTAATACTTTCAACAATAAAGATAAATTTTACAAAAGAAAGAAAGCAAGCTTTTCCAAGCTATGTTCAGGCTCTGGACCAAACGCTCACTTAAGGGCCGTCCTTTTGTGGTTTTCGTGGATTGGCGACCACATTTCTCAACCTCCCCATTCTCACTCGACTTTCATTTCACCTCTGTCCCCATTTCACAGCCCCTAGTAGGAGTTCACAGTCATAACTGTGTTTAATCATGTCCTTATCAATATACTCGGCGTCTCCTGTAACCTCATGCATTTTATTTAATTAATTTAACAACATTCCGGAGCCCATAAGTTTGATCAGGCTGCTCAAGGACTCCCTCTGGAGGTGGAATGAGAGGGTATATTGGTGGGCTTAGGGACCCAGGACACTTCTTTCAATCCTTTGCCCAGCCTAACTCTTCAGAACCTTGAGAACTGATTTTTCCACTCAAGTACTGGGGACAGGAAGATGGTTGCATTTCTACCATGGTTGGGCTCCCATGGACCACTGATTCTAGGACCTCCTCCCCCAGTGATTAGGGTAAGAAAGGAAATTAAGAGAGGATGTGGTGAACTGAACATTTCTAATTTCTCTGTAAATATGTGTTAGAGCCACAATATATAACTGTAAGGAGGAATTCCTCATCCGTTTGTTGAGTTTTGCCTTGAGCTAGGTCTTCCTCTGTGGGCATTTTGACTTCTAGATACAACAGGGCTCTTCCAGTTTCTGACAAGACTTCCAAGTTGGATCTAATTGGCACACTCTGATTTCTTTAACAATATAAAAATAAAATGATAACTGATAAAATAAAATAACTATCTGATTTAGTCTTAAAATCAGTATTGCTCTCTGGAGATAAAGATCATTAAATTGAACTCCAAAAACTGTCAAGAATCTCTTTTTCAAATGATGTGTATCCCTGTTCTTGCTACTGAACGTGAGAGGAAACTTGCTCCTGGACACAGCCACCATCTCAGCCTTGTCTAATGCTTGGGGTACTGTAGGTCACTCCCAGGAAAGGAGAGGTAAACAAAGGGACACTTCCAGTTGTACATGCAACTCACCCCTTTGGGTTGGTACTGAACTTGACAAGTAGTCGAGTGAGGTGGATGGTATAGCTGTGCTGGGAAGGTGGCTTTTCCCTCTGGTTCCTCTGCCCAGCAGTGAGGAAACCAGAGGTTGGGGGAAGGGGACCCCTACTTGTGACCTCAGTACTGCATCATCAAGTAGTGATTGTTGTGTGACTCCAGAGCCTTCAACTCAACTCAAGCGCTTGAATAGGAGGATGGGCTGTGATTGATTAATCACCCCCTTTGCTGTCCTGTCCTCTCCCTGGGTCCCTCAAAATTTGTGCTGGTGAATCAGGCATTGGTGAAGACCACTGAACCCTAAGGACGCGGAGGCCCATTGTAGTGAGTGGCAGAAGAACTTCATTTACACGTGGTCTCTCTTTGTTCCCCCAGCCTCCCCAATTTTTACTCCTTTGAACTTGTCCTTCTCCCCCTTTCTAGGACAGCCTCCCGGGGTTGACCAGAGCCCTTTGACCATCCTCTCCTCCCTATTTTTCTAATATGAGACTCTGGAACTTCCTTTTACCAACCTACACACCTGGCCCAAGTCCAAAGATTATTTTAGCTCTTTCTCTCTTTTTTAATCTTCACCTGAGGATATGTTCTTCTTTTTTTATTATTATTATTGATTTTTAGAGAGAGAGTAAGGGGGGAGAGAGAGAAATATCAATGTAAGGAAAAACCGTCGATCGTTTGGTCTCGCCCCGACCAGGAATGCACCTGCAACCTAGGTATGTGTCTTGTCGGAATTGAACCCACAACATTTTGGTGTACAGGATGACGCTCCAACCGAGCCAACTAGCCTGGGGCTTACTACTTTTTCTCAGTGTCTCTGGCTATAATTCACTGTTTTTTGGGCTCTGTGATATTTTTTCAATCAGGGGGTGGCCGCCCCTTGATGTCCAACTGCCTAAAGAAGTTGAGTTTGATGCTCTTGGCCAGTTCTGACCTACTGGGTTAGAGTAGAAAGGTTTGCCTCTGAGAAAGCTCTTTCCTTGCCTTTCCAAAGGCTTGGCCAGTGGGTCTTTGTGGCTGGAATAGGGGTGTGTCTGAGGTGGTGGTAGGAGATTGGTGTGGGAAAGCCAAGTAGGCTCAGACACGTAGACCCTTGAACTCGGCTCCAGGAAGTTCATCTTGGCAGTCGTTCACTGATGAACCAGGAATGACTTTTGGTTAAAATTGTGATATGATCATATCAAAGTGTGGGATGGATTGGGGGTCGGAGTGATGGAGCAAAAGTTGAACTAATTTGTTTTAAAGAAATTATAAAGATCTCCAAGTCTGAAGGAAGGCAATAGTTGTGGTAGAACGAGGGTGCCAATGAAAGGAACATTATCAAAGAGGCAAATTTATGGGATTTGGTTAATGGAAAATTAAGAAGAAAGATGACTCCTAGGTATTTGGGGTACTTATGGGTGCTGAAGGAATGGAACAATTTGTGTTAGAAGATGGGCTTGAGTCTCGGGATGTTGAATGTGGCTGCAGGAAGCATCTTGCATGGTTGTTGGAGGCAGGCTCTGGCCCTCGCACCACTGGGCAGACCCGGGACCTTGAGTTCATTTCAGTCCAACAGGTGTTTGCTGGGTGATGAAAATGAGCTGGTTCAGAGAGAGGCTTGGGGGAGAGAAGAGAGAAGATATTGGGGAGGATGGGGAACCCTAATATAGGGCTTATTTGGTATTCACAGAATATTGTCATATAGCATTGAAGCCCAAATGAAAGGCAGGGTGGGTAGAAATTCAACCTCTTGCCATGGGGATGAATTGGTGTTAGACCCGTTGTCTCGGTGCAGCCTTCTCCTCTCTGCTCATTTTTTCTCTCCATAATTTTGAGCTCTGCCTCTTAAAAGCTGTTAAGAAGCAGTTCTCAGGAGACCTAGCTCCACCTGCTGTTCAGCTCTGGACCAAAACTAGCACACTGGATATGCGACAGTGATGTCAAAAGATATAGTGATTTCTACTGGCTGTTATTTTTCTCTCCTTTTTCCATCTTCCATTTCTTGTTCAAGAAATCCCCACCAAATGAAAGTACTATATCGTTCATCAGCCTTTCACCAGGACATATGCCCATCACTGTTTCAGTCCTTACACCCGTCCCTTAAAGGTCAAGGCTCCTGGCGGTGTTACAGTTAGTGTCCCAGCTACCAGCCTCACCTTTGGCTTAGGGTTTGGTTGGCAGCTGGCTGGCAGCAAGGCACTATCTAGATGAGACACAGGCCAGGCTTCTTGGATGGCTGAGTCTCAGAAAAAGAGGATGGAAGGGGAAATGAGTGAGTGTCAAAGCCCCCAGGTTAAAAATGAGGACCCTGGAGTCAGATCCTGGGGTTCAAATCCTGCCTTCAACCTCTACTTGCAAAATGATGCCTAGTATTTTACTTAACCTTTCTAAGTCCCCTCATCTATAAGATGTGTGATAATAGCACCCATGATAGCACCTATATTAATAGCACCTATGTTAATATGTAACATATTGAGTGCTTATAACATGCCAGGCATATTTGCAAGTGGAAAACATACACTCATATTGTCTCACTGTTCTCATAGGTTGTTGTGAAGATTAAATGAGATTCAATATATAAAGAGCCCCCAATAAATGTCTGTAATACATATGAGTTATTATGTTTGTCAGTCCTCTCCTGGCTTTGTCATCCTTTGGCTTGCTGCTCCCTCTCTCTCTCTGTCTCTCTCTCTCATTTTCTGACTTTTGGCTCTGAAATCCCTTTGTACTATCCCCACCCAGGCTCTTAGTTGCCGAGCCAGATTAATTCTGAGATTTTTATCTCTGTATTTTGTAGTTATTTATCTCCAAATTTCTCATCCTCATATGATGGGCTAGCCTAGTGATCAGGAACCACTTATTTATTTATTTTGATTTTCAATTATAGTTGACATACAATATTA